TTAATTCAGATGTCTCTCTGTTAACTCTCTGCCCTGTTGACCTATCAACACTGTCAACCCCTGTTGACAGTGGGGTATTGAAGTCCCCTACTATTAATGAGTTGGGATTAATATGGGTCTTAAAGTCCTGTAGCATTGTTTTTATGAAGTTGGGTGCACCAGAGTTTGGTGAATATATGTTCGTGATTGTGATATCTTCTTGATTACTTTGATCAGAATGAACTTGCCCTCTTTATCTCTTCTGATTAGTTTTAGCTTAAAGTCTATTTTGTCAGATATTAGAATTGCAACACCTGCTTTTTTCTTAGTACCATTCACTTGGTAATTTTTTTCCATCCTTTTGCCTTAAGGTAGTACCTTTCCTTGAAAGTGAGATGCATACTTCTTACAGACAACAAAAAGATGTTTTTTTTGTTTCTTAATCCATTCAACTAGTCTGTGTCTTTTGACTGGGGAGTTCAGTCCATTATTTAAAGTTATTAATGAATGATGTGCATTGATTCCTGTCATTTTTATTTCTGTTCACATTCTTGGTGTAGCTGTGCATTTCCATAATTATACCTTCATTAAGTTTCTTTTTCTAACCCCTTGGGTATAGTCATTCCTTTCTTTAGCTCTTTGTATTGCTTCTAGAACTCTCTGAAAGGCTGGCAGCCTGTTTATGTCATGGGAGATTTTTCTTTCCCCTTCAACTATAATAGACATTTTGGCTGGATATAGTAATCTGGGTTGGCATCCGTGGTCATTTAAAACTGGGAATACTTTGGTCCAGGCTCTTCTGGCTTTCATAGTTTGCACTGAAAAGTCAGCTGTAATCCTAATGGGTTTTCCTTTATATGTGACTTGTTGTCTCTCTTTTGCCGCTTTCAGTATTGTCTCTTTGTTCTGTGCACTTAGTGTTTTTACTATGATGTGCCATGGAAAGTTTCTTTTCTGGCCCTGCCTATTTGGTGTTCTATATGCTTCTTGCACTTGTATGGGCATGTCTTTCTTTAATTTTGGAAAATTTTCTTCCACAATTCTGTTGAAGATCTGGTCTATGCCATTATCTTGGGATTCTTCTACTTCCTGTATGCTTATGATTTGTAAGTTTGGTCTTTATATAGTGTCACACAATTCCTGCATATTCCATTCTTGTGCTTTCTTAAATTTTTCATAATCTTTGCTTGAGTGGTCTAGTTTGTCCATTTTATCTTCCAGTCTTGATATTCTGTTTTCGATTTCATTCTGCCTATTGGTGAGGCTTTCTCCTGTCATTTCTAATTGGCTGAGTGATTCGCTTCCCTCTTCATTTTAGTCTATTCTTCAATATTTCTAACTCTTTTCTGAATTCATTCAGAAGTTTATCCCTATCTTCCTTCAGTTCTTTGATTTCTTTGTATGTTCTTTAAATTCAGTGAATTCTTTTATCATGTTTATAATTGTTCTTTTGAGTTCCATGTCCTGCATTATCTCTAGGGGGTTCTCATTGTACTCCTCCAGAGGACTATTGGTATTTGGTGGGGATATGTTATTTCGGTTTTTCATGTTATTATTTTTTCTTTGTGACTTTGACGTGAATTTCCGTCCTAGTTTCTGATTCTTGTGTGAGACTCAAGCCTTCCTTTGTTGAGTTTAGATCTGCTTCTTTTTG